ATCGATACTTGACCTTGCGAAAGTGCTGCGCCTGCCACGAAATCTATACTTGACCTTGCGAAAGTGCTGCGCCTGCCACGCAATTCAAACCTTGCGAAACCTTCGCGCGGCCGTGCCAATGGGCCCGTCTCCGAGACCGTTCCGAGACCGTTCCGAGACCGTTCCGAGACCGTTCCGAGACCGCCTCCGTACAGGCGTCGCAGCCGAGGTGGTTTGCGCACAGTCCGGAAGCCCAATTCACGCACAGCGCCAACGTTTTCTGCATCTTGCCATCCCCCAGCTCGCAGAGAGTGGACGCAGCACCTTGCGAAAGTGCTGCGCCTGCCACGAAATCGATACTTGACCTTGCGAAAGTGCTGCGCCTGCCACGAAATCTATACTTGACCTTGCGAAAGTGCTGCGCCTGCCACGAAATCTATACTTGACCTTGCGAAAGTGCTGCGCCTGCCACGCAATTCAAACCTTGCGAAACCTTCGCGCGGCCGTGCCAATGGGCCCTCCGAGACCATCTCCGAGACCGTTCCGAGACCGTTCCGAGACCGTTCCGAGACCGTTCCGAGCCGAGTGGTTTGCGCACGTCCGGAAGAATTCCGCACAAACGTTTTCTTCACGCACAGCGCCAACGTTTTCTGCATCTTGCCAGCGCAGAAGTGCTGCGCCTGCCACGAAATCGATACTTGACCTTGCGAAAGTGCTGCGCCTGCCACGAAATCTATACTTGACCTTGCGAAAGTGCTGCGCCTGCCACGAAATCTATACTTGACCTTGCGAAAGTGCTGCGCCTGCCACGCAATTCAAACCTTGCGAAACCTTCGCGCGGCCGTGCCAATGGGCCCGTCTCCGAACCCGTTCCGAGACCGTTCCGAGACCGTTCCGAGACCGTTCCGAGACCGCCTCCGTACAGGCGTCGCAGCCGAGGTGGTTTGCGCACAGTCCGGAAGCCCAATTCACGCACAGCGCCAACGTTTTCTGCATCTTGCCATCCCCCAGCTCGCAGAGAGTGCTTGCGAAAGTGCTGCGCCTGCCACGAAATCTATACTTGAGAAAGCTATCTACGTGTTAAGCTGGCTATATGTCAAAGCTATCTATCTGTCATGCAAGCCTATTGGAAAGCTATCTATCTGTCAAGCTAGCTATATGTCAAAGCTATCTATCTGTCATGCAAGCCTATTGGAAAGCTATCTATCTGTCAAGCTAGCTATATGTCAAAGCTATCTATTTGTCATGCAAGCCTATTGGAAAGCTATCTATCTGTCAAGCTAGCTATATGTCAAAGCTATCTATCTGTCAAGCTAGCTATATGTCAAAGCTATCTATTTGTCATGCTAGCTACCTGTCATAGCTATATGTCAAAGCAGCTAGCTCATTTAGTTCCAGTACTACGGAAGTTTCTTGTTAAACTTCCTTTGATCACAAAGCAAAGGCAATGACCACCTGTCAGTCTAGGCATTGCTTTGGACATTAGCCTACTCTTGTCAAGCTTCCCTCCACGAGCGTTGGTCCGTTGTAGCTCAAACTAGGCACTTCACCCACTGGAGATGCAAATCAGTCCCTGAAGGCGTCATACCTTGTGGCTATGTTGCCTTTGGTTGGCCGCCATGGTGTTGGCAGCAAAAGGCGGTAGCCTGAGATGCAAGTTAATGCCAGGGCAGTGTGAGGCAACCTCATGACATCATGCACCGTTGGACAGTTCAAAACCAACGAGTCAACGCATACCATATCACATTCGAGAGGACAGCAAGAATCAATTCACTGGGCACACGCTTGGATTTGGCGTGTGACCCTTCCAGAACCTGCCCTTGTGTGACCCTCTCTTCCAGGACCACAGTGATGCAACACCTACAGGCCAGACCAGGGGAGCGGTTTGCAAAGAGCCAACAGTGAACGCCTCTGAAAAGGGTTCGATGGCTTGCCCTTGAGGTCGTCACATCAGCTGACACAAACATGGGCGGCTTCGTGTCTCCGTGTTTCTGCTGTATAGAGCACATTCTTGGATCTGGCGTCCGCTACTGCAAAATTGGTGGATTCTTTGTGGGGTGGCGCAGGACTGTTGCTTTTTTGCCTTGCTCATGAGAAGAGTCTGTTTATCCTCATTAGTGGTCGACCTTACATTTTGCGTAGAACTTCCCGGAGCAGAGCTGGGGCAGCGGAATAGTCCGAGTGTGTGAAGAACTATTCTATTCATCTCTCACCTGGCGGTCCTCTTTTGCTGGTCTCAAAGGAAACGTTTGTTTGTTCAACCACTGCCATCGCAATATGTTGTGCCTCAATTCATGGCGCTTCTCCTTGCAGATGCCCTGCATCGTGCATATACTGTCTTGTAATCTGTTTGACTCGCCAGCAATGGCCCGTTCTTATCCGACCCTCTTGTGCCGCAAGGTGAAACCACCCTGCAACTCTTCAAAACACGGGTGAAAACAGTGGCACTGCCGCAGCCACTGATTCCTCCGCCTGCTTGCCTGACTTCTCCTGAACTCTTTCCTTTTTTTCCCCACAATAATGCAGTTTCCCTAGGAACATCCATCATTGTTTTAAAGAACGCAGCCACAAACATCCCGAACAAGACACATTTTTTCTTACGGGAACACAGGGCGGCTTCTTCGTGCTGCTGCGCTTCATACACATCATTCAGACGCGGAACATCGGCACATGCACAGGCGAAAGGAGCGTGTCATAAAGAAGGAAAGAGTAGTTGAACTGAAGTCAACGAATGCCGTGTGCAAAGAAGCAAACTTCGAATAGGGGCTACGACACGACTCGCTGGATTCCTCGAACGATGTTTCACCTAGAATGCTCCACTGCCAGGTGACCCCACAGAGCCTCTAGTGCTGGGAAAGCGGCGCTGTGCGTGAAAGCTTCGGACGCCCGCGCTGGACCCATGCCGTGCTTTCTTCGACGATTGGGCAGATAGCATGGCAAGCACAACATTTGGCATGGGGCGAGTCACGTGCAAATATCCGAAAGTCCCAGTTCTGATAGAATGGCTATCAAGCGCTCTGGTGGAGCCTCTGAGGGCAGGAGCTGCAGAGGCTCGGCGACCTCTGCAGTTCCACACCCTCACCCTGTGACCTCAAGGCCGGCTCCCCACAATTTGGGGGCCTGCTTTGTTGGCCGTGCAGCCGGCACTGTTCAGGAGCCCTTGAAGGGCTCTTGAGATAGCAAACCTCAATGTTGCTCGCTTGGAACATATTGGCCGAGAGCCCTCCAAACAGTCCCTTCGACACTGTTTTGGTGTGCCGGCGTACCACCCAAGGTGGTGCCAAGCTGAGCGGTGAAGCCCGAAGAAGCCAGATCTCACCGGCGTGCGGCAAACCATCCCTGGTATTCAGCGGATGAGTCAGGGTGAGTCAGCGGATGTTTCACACACATCCCAGCTGTCCAGAGGGGTGAGCTTCCCTCTAACAAAAAGAGGCACTGGGCGATCACGACATGGCTGATTGTTTAAATACATTCATCGGGGAAAGCTAGGAAATGTGTCTTCAACACGGGTTACTCCTTTGTCAGCTGGAAGGTGGGATTAAACATTCGCGAAGAGCGGTGAATGAAGTTGGGCCGGACTGCTGTTTCGCAATCCATTTTTCTTGCAGCCGTTGGACATTGTACTGCTCTTAGGACATGGCCATATCACATATTGATGCCGGCCACTGCGCCACTTGACCAAGCTTTCCAGCATGGCCACTCGACCAAGCTTCCCATGTTCGTCTTTAGATGTGCATCTTTTTGGATACTTGCTCTGTCAAACCCTTCCCTGCCGCATGAGATCCGGCGTCTCCAATTCAGATGCGTGCTATTTCCTGCGGATGGTTGCCCAACTAGGTTTCCCCCAAAAACACAGGCAACTGCACTGCCCTGAACAATGTTACCCAATCAGACCCAGCCTTCCCGCTTCCCACCCACCTTTTGCGTAGTGTGATAGTCAGCTTCAAATGTTGACACACATCCATGTGAATAGCGTAGCGGGGTTTTTGACCGCCTGGTAAGACATGACCAAATCAAGCCTTTTGAATTGCATCGGGCATGAATCCCCTTTGCGGGTTGGTTGCTGAGGCACCCGGGGTAGGTGTCCATGGTTGGGGGATTTAGATCCGGGATCGTGATGTTTGTGTAGGGAAAGCATCTCCAGGGCATCCCTTAAGATGATGGTGTTTGCTGCAGCGCATGGGACATGCCTGCTATACCTTCACAGGGCCTCCCCATGTTGCACATTTTGCGGGGCACCCCTGTGGGCAACTTTGCCATGTTTTGCAACAACAGCACATGCGACTCACGTGTGCATCAAGGCTCAGCACCCATCCATGACATGACTTCGGCTTCGCAGGCTCCCATGAAGTGTGAAAGGGACAAGCCACCTTCGGCCAGTGCCGCCGGCCTTGAGCGGCCTGGCCGCATCGATTTCTTGAAGAGCCTTGTGGAAAAGTGGCGCCGCGACGGGCCGCGACGGCTATGATTTGCCATCAGGATCTTCAAGTTGCGAGCGTGGCATTTCAAGCCGGCACTGGACTCGTGGCCACCACCCGCTCTCATTGCGATATTGAACAATCAAGCCATATGCAAACAGGCAATCCATGCATGCTCCCCCTCCCCAAAACCTGAGCCGAACTAGCAGATGAAATGCTGCAGGGAACGTCCGTTTATCATGCAAGCTAGGTATGCTAGCATTGAGTTCTCATTGCCTTAGCAATCTAGGGGGCTGGGCTTCAGGAATTTATTTGTTCAATCTTTGGGGGCACTGATTCGGATTGATTCCGAAGATCAATTCTTTACTACACCCCCCCCCCCCTGCCGTCCATTCGGGTGTTCATTTAAGATTGCGATTCGCAATATCTTGGCAAGCACTGGGTCGTACATGTTGTTGTTGTCGGGCTGGCCAGCTTTCGTTCGCTTAAGTATCCGAGACTGATGCCGGCATGTGGTTTTCCCTGCAAACTCCGGACCTTTGTCCTGCACGGACGCATTGAATTTTACACCGGTGGACCCTGCGAGTTTTGGCATGGCGCCAGTTGCCGCGACTCTGACCTCAAGGACTCGTCTGCGGGTCACAAGGCGTGGGGCCCGAGAGGTGGCTGGAGCAGATGTGAAATTGGGATGGTCCACCATGGGGATATGAATTTTTCCGTCTCTTAGGCCCAAGAGTTCCATGTCTATTTTTGTTTATTTTTTAGTTGCACTCTGGTGACTCTGGTTTCTTGTATCCTGAGCTGCCTTGTTACGTTGACGCCGTCGACGCCTTGTCACTGAAGAACTGCCACGCAGGTTGCTACATGTCCGCATCAGGTGCAGAGCCAGCCTTTTGATGCTTCAACTTGTGATCTCGGCCAAAGTGCCAACAACAAGAGGCGGTCGTCATTTGTTGAGACGGCCGGAGGCTCATCAACTGCCATATGCTGTAGCTTTCTTCTGTGCTGTCAGAGCTGTGCGCCATTTCAAGAACCTACCAGGTATATGTGACTATCAACACCTTTTCACAGTCTGCAGCCTCATACTATCCTTTGAAGTACAAGGTCGATACGATCAAAGTCAAAGCTGCGGCAGCAGCCGAGCCAAGCTGATCTTCTAAGCAAGGGAAGACGTTTCCGTTGTTCTGCGGCTTCAGGCGAAGCAGAACAAGGAGATGCTGCTGAAGAGGGCGGCCGGCTTCACCCAGTGGCTGGCGCCTGAGGCCAGTTTGCCTGCCCATCGACCTGACGCCCAGCATCTGCAGAGGCGATTTGTGGAAGGCTGTGGGTGGCTGATGTCCCGAACTCCAATGAACATTCAAAGCAGCAAACCACACACACACACACAGACAAGCACATGTCATGTCGAGTCATGTTGCATACATATATATATATATATATATATTATAGATAGATAGATAGATAGATAGATAGATAGATAGATAGATAGATAGATAGATAGATAGATAGATAGATAGATAGATAGATAGATAGATAGATAGATAGATAGATAGATAGATAGATAGATAGATAGATAGATAGATAGATAGATAGATAGATAGATAGATAGATAGATAGATAGATAGATAGATAGCAGAGCTGCCTCCAACTATACCTGAGAGCAGCCGATTTCTGGTCTCGGGAAGAACCCGTCGAATCTTAGTATAATGCATAGGATACACATTCTCGTGAGGGACGGGGCAACTCTGTGACAGTTTACCCAAATGGACAGCTTCGCGACTTGTCATTTCACTTTCCTTCTGCTGATAAATTGCCTAGAAGCGGAACATTCTGTATAGTTGGAAAGGCACACTCAGGTGTCGGTGTTTCTTTCAATTAGGGTAGATGCGTAGATTCCACTTGCCAATTCGGTGCAGGCAAGGCTGGGTTTGCCGCCTCAACACCCCTGGCACATGCTTTCTTTCCTTTTCTTTCACAACACTCGTGCGGTCCAGCACTTTCAAAACACTTTGTCAGAGTTCCGTGCTTGGCTTTGATTGGTTTAGCTTCAGGAGCAGCGGCTTGCTGGCTGTTTGCCCGATAAATAGCGTTTGTCGGGCCTTTGCTGCTGTTGCTCGCCCGCGCAGCAATGAAGTGGCTCTGAGCCCTCGAAAAATTGACGAAACAGAGCCATAATCCCACAAAACGCGGATGAACAGAAGGGCTGCGACTGAGCCGAAACAACATGCATTGGTTTTGCCGCAAACAGGCAAGACGGTGACAAGATGCACAGAATCACAGCCAAATTTACAGCAACTATCTCAGGTTTGCCGCCGAGCAGAGAGGCAGCCGCGCTATGAGCATGCCAAGTTGTCCATACCGCTGAGCCCATGTTCTGCACTCCGCACACATTCTTGGATCCCAGATGCGGCGCAGAGTCCGACTCCGGCCCAAAGCTTTGTCCACAGCGTCGCATGGTCCAATCCAAATTGCAACGCCCATGCCATCCGCCCGCCGGCCCTTGGTGCGGGAGGAGATCTGCCGCGTTGGTTTCCGGGCATGAGGGCTTTGTGGGGAAGACATGCCCAAGGCAGGCTCCTGTTGAAGCAAACTTGGTCTCTTTCTAGCTGCACCACAAGCCTTGCCTGCGGATGTGCCCCCGTGCTTTGCACCTTCTCATTACGGCTGGCAAGGTGCGAGCTGCCCAAGCATCGCCGACGACACGTGTTCAGTTGAAATTCCTCATTTCGGATGCGCTTCTTAAGATGGGCATCGTTCCGTTCAGCCAAGCAGCTTGCGAGCCCCACCTTTGCCCCGACTCAGGGGTTGGACTGGGTCGCTTAAAGTGAGCATTTTGAGGGATTCTCCACAAAACTTTTGGGCTGGCTTCAGTGGTTTCATGGGTTTCTTCGCTTCTAAATAGCGGTTTCAGTTCAAGGAGCCCAGCTGGCTGGACGGCTGCCTGCAGAGCTGCTGCCCCTGGCTGCGGCGCTGGGTCCGTGCCGCCGGCTATGAGCAGGAGAGGGTCTTACTGCAGCTTTGGGCTTCAAAGAGATGCTTTTTGGGTCGTTGCGGGGGTCTGCGCTTTTTGAGGCTTCCCTTTTGAAGTCCTTCAGCCGCTGGTTTGCAGAGAACCCGCCGCCCTTCAAAGGAAGCAACCATCGAGGCTAATCAGCAGTGCAGCACGTGCTCTCACCCAGTGCCACCCCTTGCATTGCAAACAAAGCTCCCTGGCTTCAAGCAAGTCATCGCCGGGGAAGTGCCTGCTTTGGCTCCTCGCAGGCGCTCCATATCCGAGATGCTACGCACCTGGCGATGCTCATCAGTATTCTGCCGGCAATGTGCGGATTCTGGGCGGGGAGGCGTGTGCCGGTTAGTTGCCCGAAGTTGCTGTTGCAACGGGGCCTCTTGGTCCTGATCCTGTCCCTCGGACTTCTTGCTGGCTTTTGTGCGCCAAACTGCTTTTCTGGAGCTGTTCGAGCACCTGAGGCTGCCTCATCTCTCTGATCTTCGTAGGCAGGGCCTGGCGCCTTTTGTGTGTTTTTTGGTGGTGGCAGGCCTCTCTGTCAGCCCTTTTGAAGGCTGCACTTGTTTTTTCCTCGCTCGTTTCGTTTCACTTCCGTGATCAATGTGCTGGGCCCGCTTGCTTCAAGCACAGCCATCGCCGTGGTACTGTGGATCCACTAAGATCCAACTATTTCAAAGAACTCGCCATGGTACTTGCTTGTCTCCGTTTGATGACGCCAGTGGTTTGGTTCATGGACCTCGCCCAGCTGAAGTGCGCCCTCACGCGGCCGGATGCAGAGGAGGACGGCTTTTTTTCTTTCCCAGCGGGATGCGGAGCTTAGGTCTGGGGCTGGGGGTGGGTTCCGGGCCTCAGGAGAACCATTTTTTCCCCGATTTCGGCGTGATGCCCTGGATGTTGTTTGGTTGTCTTGGATTGGCGCAGTGTCCGATTGAACCGTTCAGGGGCTTGCAGGCTTGCACCTGCATCCTCTAGCTTTTTGCTTGCTCCACTTGATAAGATTGATGCTTGGATGCTTGCCTTCCCCATCCTCCAAACCCGTTTCTGCGCATTCAACACAATTCTCTGAAAACTGGCTCGATGCGAGACGGGTGAGTTTGGCCGCGCGTGCAGGACGAGGCCTCTCGGAGCATCCTGGGCCTGGAGCAGTGCGTCATGGAGGCGGCCATGGCCTCAGCTACCTCAGTCTGCCTGTCTATTTGCTTGTCTTTCTGTTTGTTTGTCTGGTGTCTGTCTGTGTGCCTGTGTGCGTGCCTTTGTGTGTGTGTGTGTGTGTCTTTAAGATACATGGCAAACGCACAGAAACAGAGAGTGAGAGAGAGAGAGTGAGATTGTCCAGGAAAGGATTCCATTTGAACTTTGCACGGGTCAGGGTAAGCTGACCCCCCGTGGATGCAAATGCAAGATGCGAGGAGTACGCAGTCTGTGCAGTCACACCGATGGATTGCGGCCTTCGTGTTTGCCTCCAGAGAATATAAGGCTGGTGTCTTCGTCTTCTTTGCCAACTTCCGGGACTGCTTCTTGGAAGCAAAACGAGACGGCCCTAGGATCAGATGAGCCACCAGAAAGCTCTTGGTTATTTTTGGTTCATCGAGGACAATCAATCATCTGAATCAGCGCTTTTCAGGTGGGCTGCATGGAGTGACGTTGTGAAGGTTCTTACTGAATGGAACCCTGGCCTTTCCCGATAAAGCCTCTACCTGCGACTTTGTATCCCGCTTGCAGCCAGTTTTTCTCGCAGCCTCTGGCTCAAGATCACTTCCCTCGGCTCCGAAATGAGTGCAGCCGACGCAGACGGGAAGGATGAGTACCGAGGCCAGATCAACAGCATCCAGCAGATCTTTGCAGAGTACGACTTCAATGGCAGCGGCAAAGTCCGTGTCGAGAGGGTGCCAGATCTGATCGTGAACCTGGGCCGGGACCTGCAGGCCGAGGGAAAGCAATGAACCAGAGCAGCCTACGGGGAACGCTGCAGGGTGTCATGATTTCCTGATCCATTTTCACTTTGGCACGCGCTTTCACCTCCTTTGTGGACATTTGCAACATGATGATCCTGTATTTGCCATGTTTGCATTTAGCCCCGAGCCAGTCCCATGGGGCGATTCAATAGCTTTTATATGCTTCTGGCAGGTGTTGGCTCACATTTCGCCGAGCAAGAGTCCAAAGCAAACCAAAAAACGGCCCGCGACCGGCGCTTCGCCAGGTGGGCCGGGAGGTGGTGCGCCAGCTGGGCGCCGAGCTGGTCAGCTTCTCGAATCGATTTGTCTCGCTGGGCACGCTTTGGTTCGTGCTCGGGTTCGTGTTTTTGGCCGGGGCTGGCAAAAAGCTGCTTTAACATACCAAGGGCGGGATGTTGCGATAGTTACTTGCTCCGACAAAAACAAGAACAATAATAGTCAACTGTTGTGACCAAGACAGGAAGACTTACCCTTGACATTTTGGTAGTGTACGTTACTGCAGGACCCTTTTCCGAGCATGTTTGAAATGACTGGGGCTGCCAGCTGATTGAGGAAAGCATGGGGTTGTTTGGTGCTCGCTGCCCGGGGCAGTGAGGCTTCGAAGAGGTTGTCCAGACACTGAAGCATGTCGAGGAGGGCCAGGTCAGGGACGAGGGCGAGACGACCACCCCCTTGACTTTGCTGACGGCTGGATGCATTTCATGCTACTGGTGATTTTTTGTTTCGCTGTTTTTGAAGTGAGAGAGCGGTTTCAAGTCAATCTTATCTTTGATGGCATCACATCAACATATGTTCATTTGAATGGCTGGGATGGAAGGAGCCAGTTGAGGGTAGCAGGAACAAACTCTCCTCGCAGGCACTAGGATGCTCCCTGAAATCACCGCTCACAAGTACGATCCACTTCAAAGTGCCATATTCTGCTCAGTGACACCGTGAGTTCAGAGGGCGACTTCCTTTTGGTTTTCCTTCATGTCGCGCCCAGGAAGCGGCTGAACGCGTACCGGAAGCAGTGCGAGGGGAGCGGCGAGTACGTGGAGGCGCAGAAGGCCAGGAGGAAGTACGAAGAGCTGCGGGCCAAGGAGGAGGAGCGACAGAGGCAGGCCTTGGGTTTTGGGCCGTTTTGGGCTTGGGTTGCGGGTTGCGCATAGCCATCCATCAGCATATGGGCAATTGTATGGTCCGACAAGGTCCTCAAGCTTTTCATTATTTTCTTGGGAATTGGTGGAGCAGTTTGGGAGTCATCCCCCAAATCGGTAAACTGTTCCCTTTCAGCTTGAATTGGTCTCC